TGATCAGGTATCGTGTAGTTTGGTTAAAGCTAGGCTCAAAGAAAGCATTACCAAACTGCACGAACTAATTTTTACCAAAACTAAGCTTAGACAATCTCTCTCAGAACTATTGAATGATGTGGATTTCATTAAGTTACAAGACATGGCTGACGGCTGACACTATCTTCTCCTTTCTAAATATATTTTATAACCATCACTCTGCGCATCTGGTTGTGTAGATGAGCATTTTTTTGTCTTCATGTGCTGAAAGCTAGGGCCAATACTGCTCTTATTCAAGCTTTTCTGGTACTTTTGAAGCCCAATCAAGAGTGAAGATAACATTTTGGACTACCACTTTTTTGGACCTCTAGATCGGGACTTCTCAAATCAAATCACATAAACGTTTAAATGACTAGATAGTCTGAAGTATACTTTTAGATTCGTATACTTTTAGAGTTTTAACTACCTTGTAGCTATCGGTGTTTTGCCATCTTGTCGCATTTTTATTTTGTCACTAATCCACTCTTACATTCACCTTTTTATTTAAAATTGTCCAGAACATCGGAACATCTCAGTAAATTGTGGAAGCCTGAGGAGTGAGATACGCAAAAGGGTGAAGAATAACTCAGTCTCCCTAAGTCGCGCAGAGAGTGAGAGTGACGTATGGATAAAAAGCTCCCTAAAAGGTTTCCTCATTTGTGGATTCGGCATTGCCTCATCGTCTCACAGCAGCCCAAAAAGGAGTCAAAAAAGCGGACTTGCGAATAACTTGGAGACATTTACCAAAACACCACGAAGCCAAAGATGCTGATGAATGTGACGGTAAAAGCAATCCAGGCTTTTCTTAACTCAGATTTTAGATTGGAATTGTCAATGAAGCAAATTTGTTTTTCCCATTATAAACGACAAACTCATAAGATGATATCAGATAAACTCTAAACATACGCTTATTGAAAACATTACTTATCTTCATAATTAGAATGTACACGTGAAAGACTTACTGACCGTTTCAAAAGGTAAGTAAGTATTAAGTAATTAAGTAAGTAAATAAGTCAGCCAGTCAATAATTAAGTACGTAAGTAGGTGAGTAATTAATTAATTAATTAGATTAGATTAGGTTTTAGAGACTGTCATTAAATGATATATATGAGTTGTGTTCGTGCCAAATTGCCAAGAGTGTCCTTGGGTCACAGGGCAAATGTGAATTCCAAAGAAGGCCAGGCCTTTTAACATATATTCTTTGGTGGGATTGTCAATAAAGCAAACGTATATTTGCTATAAAAATCGACTACGTTATTTATTTTTAGTATTTAAGTAGATTTTCGGACTACCAGTAAATCAGTAATATGAGATGTATTCACCCAATTTCGTTTAACGTAATGAAGGACTGGTAGTTGAATTTTCCCACAATGATATGATATTTCCATAGAATTTCACATAGCCTTGCTTTATCAGCAGGTGTTCTCATTCAGGGTGGACTGCAGTTCCGACCTTGCGTCTTATCAACACCTCAAGCGGGAGTCGAACCATAACACTGCAACATGTAAGCTCGACGCATTAACCACAACGCCACATTGCCGCAAGTGCCCTTGGGTCACAGGGCAGATGTGAATTTCAAGGAATGTCAGGAATTTTCTATATCACATTCTGTGTTGGGATTGTTGATGATTTACTGGTAATATCGAAAACTTTCTCAGTCACGGAAAAAGTAATGTAGTCGATTGTTATAGGAAATATTAGTTTGCTTCATCGACGATGCCAACACAGAATGTGATATGGAAAATGCCTGACCTTCCTTGAAATTCACATCTGCCATGTGACCCAAGATAACTCGTGGCAATGTGGCGTAGTGCTTAACGTGTCGAGCTTGCATGCTGCACTGCCATGGTTGGACTCCCGCTTGGGACCTATGTGAAGTCGAAACGGCAGTCCGCCCTGGAGAACAACATCTTTAGAGAAGGCAAGGCTATGTGAAATTCAATGGAAAACATCAGCTCTATTCATATCATTGTGGGAAAATTCAACTACCAGTCCTTTATCGTCTTAAGCGAAATAGGGTGAACACAGCTCATATAAAAATATGCTAATATACAAGATTGTATGTAATTAGGAAAGAAAGTAAGATATAAGTTATTTGACCAAGTTGCGAAAAGAAGGTCAAACAACTTCTATACAATGAAGGTAGACTGCGACCACAAAAAAGGCCACACCATCTTGGTCTTCATACTTTCGAAAGTAAGATAGTTGGTAAGTAGAATGTCTACTAAAAGATTAATCGTATCTTTGGCGAGCCATGCTTGCCTGGAATGCCATATCCTTCTTGTACTTACTTGCAACCTCGGTACTTTAGTGACTTTTTATATTTGGTCACTTCGAGCGCACGATCTGGTTTCAAGTCCAGTTAGGGATGTTGGCTAGACGATGAGGCGAGGTCTAAACTGTAGTCAAGGTTTGACCAGTAAGCCCTTTAAGAGGCAAGTGGAATTGCAATTTAATAGCATCGTGAAGATAACTGATACAAATGTGGGAAAATTCCATTATCAGTCTATAAATCGGCCTGGACTGACCAAATTCATTTTCGCTTCATTGTTTCTCAGTTTGCGAGGGGCGCAAACATGACTTTTACAGCGATTATCTTAACAAAACGTAACTGCTGAATGCGCTATGCGCTATGCGTTTACGGGAGGCCATAATTGCCTTTCGAAGGGGAGGCACAAACATGCAAAACACAAGTTGCTATGTCGACCGGAGAATTGTGGATTAAATTAGGACAGTCTTAAAGTCTTAAATACGAAAAGTAGCTGGGCCTCGATGAGTCTCTTGAGATAACATTTTTATGGAGAACTTGATGTTGCTTAAATTTGACAGAAGAAGAGGTTCGTTAGGTGGTATGATCAGAAGGGGAAAAGTTATTCTCGTTGTTCTGCAGCCGTTTGGCCATAATACGACCTCCAAGTTGACGCAGTTCGCAGAAAATTCTTTCTCGTTCCTGGTGAAAACGGGATCAGCTTTCGTCCATCATGCCACCTAATAAACATCCTTATGTCTGGAAGTCATAATATTTACCGACTCTGTCTTACTTGCATCACATCATTTCTTTATCAAATAACTTTAAGGGCCAAGGCAATCGTTGTAATTTTTTTCCTCGGGTCATCAAGAATTGATGATCTGGCACTGCCATTAGGTTCTTGTGTAAGTACTTTGAATTAGGCTGGTGTTTCGTATAATGACCTGGATACACACACACACACACACACAAACACACACAAATATAGGTACTTAAATTAATATGAGAAAAAACTATCCAAAGCATTCTCATTATTCTAAGGTATGAAGACCAAGATGGTGGACCTGTTTGGTGGTCACAGTCTAATTTCGTTGTATAGTGGTTGTTTGACCTTGTTTTTGCAACCTGGTCATATTGGCAGGAAGACTTAGAGGAACTCACCTAGTCCGAAGTCAATTGTAAGCATGAAAACTTGCAGAGTCGGACCTTGGACGTGGTACATTCCCAGACGTTTCGCCGGCATCGTAGTCGACATCGTCAGTAAATATCGTCACTCTTAGCACCACACAACAACTCGTCAAAGAGACAAGTGAAGCCCATTCTTTGACCAAACGTGTGCTAAACAGTTGTGGTATCTCCACTTCTGCCATGGGCTATTCACAGTTCCCATATCCTCTTATCACACCTTAACTGTTACAATATTTACCGTGCTTATTTTGATGTAGTGTGGTGTGCTCCCCGTCACACTCCACACTGTCGTTCTCATCCCCTTCAATCTTGTGTTGGGAATGTTGATCAGAGTCTTCCATATTGTTACGCAGTCCTCCTTCCCTGGGTCTTATCACAGTCTCTCTCTTGCCCCATAAGATCCGTCTGGTCTCTCCCTGGATCACGTATTTCACTTGACCCCAGGCGTTATTCGCCCTGCCCTGAGTTTGGGTGACTAATTCGAGACTAAAGCCTCTGAATAAGTCTCATGGTCACGTCTTTGCTGCATGGACCACGTCTCTGGTAAAACCTGCTGTCAGCAAACTAGCTCCAGTCTCCAGCACGTCTATCCTGTTTCTATCCCTAAAACCAAGTCTATGACTTCCCATGCCCTTTTCTCTTGTCTGCCGACCCACAAATGTTTTGGTACTGCTTGCTTTGATTAGATTCAATGTAACAGTGAAGGTGTGATAGGAGTATATTGGAAATGTGAATAGCTCAGGGCAGAAGGGAAGATACCACAATTGTTTAGCACACGTTTGGTCAAAGGATCGCCTTCACTTGTCTCTTTGACGAGTTGTAATGTGGCGCTAAGACGTGCAAGACTCATTGACTTATTGACTTAGTGTTGGCTTAAAAAGTGTGCAACAATGAGTTCCAGCTCTGACGATATCCGCCATGTAGCATGACAGGCAAGGGCTCAGACCCTTTTTCACCAGAAACGAAAGAGGATTCCTCGTGAACGATGTCTACCCGAACGACTGCACAACAGCAGAGAAGATCTGTCGCCATCTAATTAAAATGACCCAAAAATCTCTTTAATCCACACTTTTATGCGGAAAGAAAGTCCCCAAAACGAAGTCTGCAAGTCCTCTCAGACTGAAGGCAGGCAGTTGAATCCTTTTTTCTGTGTGTAGGGAAGATAGAGTCTGCGGACAAGCGAAGGAGAAGGCGACCCGAGGTACAATAGTCGCTCACCTTGGCTCGAAGATCAGCTCTCTTTTGTCCGCCTCCAGAATGGTCTAGATTACTCTGTTTCAGTTTCGCCCTATCGGGAGCCTCGACCGACACTCCTCTGCTAGTCCTGAAAGTCGTCTGGCCTGTATTACTGAGTTTGCCTGGAGACTCATAGTCGACGGCAACGTGGATGGTCTTGTAGAGGTGGCAGCGACCCTCTGTCAAGTAGCCGGACATCCAAGCAGGCTGCCCCTCTACCGCGAGGACTGGCGACATGTAGTTCGGGGCAAAGACATAAGGACAGCTTAGAAACGTAAATTGACATAAGAACTACTATAAGTAATATGAGATGTATTCACCCTATTTCGTTTATGCAAATATACATTTGCTTCAACGACAATCCCACCAAAGAATATGATATGACAAAAGGCCTGGCCTTCCTTGAAATTCACATTTGCCCTGTGACCCAAAGGCACTTGTCGCAATGTGGCCGAGTGGTTAACGTGTCAAGCTCCCACTCTGCTCTGTCACGGTTCGACTCCCGCTGGGGGGTTTTGATAAGACCGATGCGAGGTCGAAATTGCAGTCCACTCCAGCCGGGATGAGAACAACTTTTTGAAAAGCAAAGCTAAGTGCAATTCAATGGAAACGTCAGCTTTACTCATTTTGTTGTTGGAAAATTCTATTACCAGTCCTTCATCACCTTAAACGAAATAGAGTGAATACATCTCACTTTACTAATTTGCTGGTAGTCTCGCAACTCTACTTAAATACTATAAGTACTATAGTAGTCACTTAAGGTCGCCTAAGGTGACGTCAAGACTGATGACAAAATTTCCCACGAATAGATGAATACGCTTTACCGGCCTTTTAGTATCACTTCTCTTCGATGCAAGTAGTGTTCGAGACTATCCAGCACCCTCGAATGATGATGAGAAAGAGATGTGGTCGAAACTACAGTCCACTCCTGCTTGGATAAGAATACTTTTTGGGAAGCAAGGTTGAGTGAATTCAATGGAAACGTTAGGCCAATTCATATAATTGTGGGAAAATTCAACTATCAATTCCTCATCACCTTATGCGAAGTATGATGAATATAAGCAAAGGTAGGAAGATCAGAATGGTACGGTCGCAGTCTCCTTTCGTTGCATAGAAGTTGCTTGACCTTGGTTTCGCAACTTGGTCATATTGGCAGGAAGACCTCGAGGAACGCACCTTGTCCGGAGTCTATTGTATGCATGATCGTTTCCAGAGTCAGACCGTGGACTTGGTACATTCCCAGATGTTTCGACGACATTGTAGTCGAAATCATCAGTGGGTCTTTTCGCGACCATACAAAATGCCACACTATCCTGGCCTTTGTACCTTCGATTTAACTATGGAAGTAAAATTACCAAACAATACCCCAATTACGGCCGGACAAAGAAGACAATTGTAAGTCAATCATGACATTTGGCTTTTTTAAACTGTTGTTGACGTTGTGGTATAACTCCTGGATTTTGTGACTTTAAGCGACATTTCCATTCAGATAGGATTAATTAGATTCTTCATCAGGCTTCCTTGCATAAAGTAAATGAAACCTATGCTATGGAAAGGAATGGGCTATTTAGGTTTATAGATATTAAGTAAAATCTCTGGCGTGCTCTGGTCAGGATTCCGAGTCGGGAGGATTTTCACAAACTCCAGCGTATGGTTGACAAAAAATCACGTGGGAGCTCTGACCTTAAAACAATAAATTGCTTATGTATAGAAT